GTTTCTTGCACGGCCTCGTTTTTGGTTGAAGAAGGTTCATATTTGCGTTTGTTTTGCAATATTATCTCTATAATCCTCGGTGCTGTTTTGGATTGATGGATATAGTCTGTTCATGAGCAGTTAGAAGCGACGAATCGAAGATTGTCAAGATTTTTTCGCTAGAAAAAATTTATTTTCAGTCGGCACGATTGAAAGCCTGTGTTCTCACGATTACTTAAGGGAAAGGTATCTCTAGCGGCTTCAGAGGTGCAGACTTCACAAAATATAGATTAACTATTTGTTTAGGAAAATGCATGGGTTAGTAATAACCGAGCCGTCCGCACCGGAATCTGAGATCCTCCATGCTGTCTTCATAGACCGTAACGAAGAACGTACCGAACTTCTGTTCATCAAACGTCCACCACCTGTCAATCGTCGTGCAATGTCAAAAGAAGAGAGAAAATATCATGATAAGGTCAACTTATGTTCATTTTTCAAAAATTTTTCATCTATTTCTACTCCTAGATAAGGATGTACCATTCTATTCACTGGAATTTTGTTGCGTTAAGATACTTCTGTCTCGCCTTAAGTTTTTTACTTCAAGATAGGCCGTAACGGATTTCAGTTGTATTCGGCTCATTTTTATTGATTTGTAGCGCAACCTCTGCAATTTTCCTGGGTGTGATATTAGCGCTTAAGGCCACCGGATTGTATTTCCGATGTATGTGACATTTCATACAGTTAGTGAAGTTGTTTCACAAATCAGAATGCGGAGCTAAGTTGTGGATCATTGTAAATATTTCAAGTTTTTTTTTCGTAAAGGGACAATAGTGTTCTATCAAAATGTCGCGACGGAGGTGTACAGAAGGCGACTCAGAGCGCGAAAGCGTTGTAATCACTGGTCTAAGCAAATCATTCTTCATTCTTAACTCATGAAATGTTTTAAAGTCAAGGTGTGGTTCTACAAACTGAGCATTTTGCGTGTCAGTCTGAATACTTCATCAGTTTAAGAGGGAACGCGAAAAGGAATTGTTATTTGGTGATTGGATTTCATTCGAGCAAAATGAAAGAGATGGCAAATTCATATTAGACTATCGTAAAGAGTTTCCATTCTGTGAGTCACGTGTCACCGCTGAACATTGTCAGGTATATTACTTCTGCTGATCCATCCATTTCGTTGGTGCCTTCTTTATAAGTATCTTCATTCCTTGTTATCATTTTTCATTTGGAATTATTCTTGATCTAAGTAAGTGTAACAACATTCGACGAGACATCCGAATATGAATTTGCATTTCTTAGTATGAATAAATGAATTCCTTAGAAAACTCTATCATATTTCTTCAAGTCAAATGATTTAGAGTGTAATCGGACGATTATTTTATTGCGGAAAATTCCATTGGTCGTTTGAAGCAAGAAATAATCTCAGCTTGCTCTTGTATTCGATATGGAGTTCACTTGCTCATTTATGAGTAACGAAAGAACTGTTGAGTTGTTGATTACTTGAATTACTGGTCATCATTTCGTTAAAGCAGCATTCAGTGCTTCTTTAAGGAAATAATGAAGAGTCTATAATCACTTAAGTGATTGCAGGTGAAAGGTGTTTGTGTGTTTGCGCCGTCAAGGTCAAAAGTAAAGAAAAACTGCTTCACTGATATTTTTGGANCAATCGATGTCTCAGCTAATGTCGCCCAATGTTTTCTTCCCGATGTTGCTATCAGGTCTGAATCCTCATCGAAGTATTTCTTCTTTGCTCTGTCGTTGAAATGTTTTATTAGTGCGATTGACCAAATTCAACAGTTTATTTATGTAATCGCAAAATTTATCCCACAATAAACTACGGGTATCATCATAGCAGTATAACTATGAAAAAAGTTTGCAACAAGAGGGATTTCACCACTTCATCTTACCAGTTGTTTCGGAGGTGTGCGGACATTTTATATTTCCTTTTCGAAAGATTCATCTGTTGAAGTGTTCTCTCCGCACCGATATTCTTTCCTCATTTCTAATCCCTGTAAGCAAGAGTAGAACATATCGTTTTGATGAACCACTTGTCCGCGTATAGGTCATAATGCGAGCAATCAGTCATCTATGTTATCCAAATGCATTGATAAATTTAAATTCAATTTTCAATTCAGTTGTTGGATATCTATTAAAGTGATAAATTTGGAAACTGCAGAATTCACATTCGGTGAATACATCGGCATTGCTGAAGATCAGAGTAGCGTTCTTTGTACGGTTAGCTGAATTTTGTTTTGACGTTCTCTTCCTTCTATTGAAGTGTTAAAATATTTTGACGTTTGTTTATCCATTCATTTTTTGTTTCGTTATATTCAGTGGCAATCAACGAAAGACATCCGTTTGCGGTTGCTTTCGAAATTATTTCCTCATTCGCTAATGATTTGATTGGATAATCGTTTGGCAATATTGAACGTTGATGTTATCCTCTTTATACTTCTTATATTTCCCTCTTCCGCGTGGTCGATTTCGCAAATTCTTAGGTCGTTCAGGACGTATTCTTTGAATTGTTCATTATGATTATGCGCATTTTTGGGAACCGTGAACAGCGTTGATGGTGATAATGATGAGAATAGTTTTTATAATGCTATTGATGAGAGTGGAAGTAATGCTGACAATGGTAATCATAATGATTTGTTCACCGATCGCTCCAATGAATTTTTCCAGCCGTGGAATCAAGACAGTCACCGATATTTTGTGGAGGTCTTCGACAGTGATGACGATGACAGCGATAAGGAAAGCAGCAGACATAAGCTCCAGCTTAATTCAGCTCCGTTCGAATCGCGTGCTATATCAGATACGGTTTGTCACTTTTTATTCGCTTTTTTAATTTTCGAATCGATTTGCTTTTCTTCATCTCTTTTATTGTTAGTATTATAATTATTGAGAACATTATCATTGAATCTCAGAAGATCATTTGAAAGATCATGATTCGGTTTAATTTTTTGAAACAGTAACAGAATGAAGTAATAGGCTTTATAATCCGAAACGGATTCATAGGGAGAAGGAGTGAAGTGAGGTGGGGATTACTAGTGCAACAGAATAGTTGATGAATGAGACGAAGGAAATGTTGGAATAGAAGTGGACTAGACATTACTCGTGGTTTAAGGCAACTTGACTGGTGTTTTGTTTAAATTTTGAATTGACGTAAAAATTGATTCAGTTGAACGGTATGGATGGATTACGTACTGGAGGGCATAAAGTGTTCTGCTTTGAATATCCTTCTGTTGCATTTTACCTCGTCTATTGTCCACTGAGAGAGCACACTCAAATGGGTGATGTGCTTCAGTTCGACGCTGTCTATTCATCGCCGTTGAATGCTTATCTGATTGTAGAATATCGTAAAAAAACAAGTATACCATCTTTTGGCTATAGAGCAATCAATTTTGGTTCTTTACCTGCGGTTAGTTTTAATATTTTTT